ATCAAAGCTACAATTCAGAATATTACTTGGATTATCAACTATTCTATAGAATAATAGAATATTTAATATTCATAAAATATTACTCTATTGAAATGAAATCACGTCGTTAGTCAGTAGCAGAATAACAAGAAGAGTGCTAATTCACATTTCTGTGGTGTTTCTACATCACGCAAGTTACATCCCATAATTAATTTCAATCATATGAAAAACACAAAGAGATAACCATGCCCTCTTAAAAGAGGATGCATTTCTCAAATGGAATTTTAAAACAGCATCTTACTCTTCCTAAGGTTTTCAAAAATAGTTTCAGTTTTGAACCAGATTTTATTTAGTTCATGCTTTTTATTATACATCTCCACAAATATCACAGGGGAGGGGGGGCATAGATAATGTCTAGTGATTCAGCATAGATCATTCCTGCAATTTTTACTATTGTCTATTCTCTAATATTTTCAATATTTTGATTAATTTAGGGTGAAGTATACACAGTGATGTACTAGAAATCTGAGAATATATCACACTGAATATAGAGTAGTTATTACCCTAGCATAATACTAGAACAAATATGCTACATACATCTCAACCTCATGCAAATCTAAGCATCCATAAATTCATGAAACATGCCTCCAAACAGGATTTCAGTAGGATTGAATTTAACTAATTTGATCCCAGATTTGCAGGTAATTTGTAGGCAACTATTTTTTAAAAAAATCTCCCAATTAATATGCTAATGTAAGTAGTTCTGCAAGAATGATACAGAGGCAAGTCTTTTACTTCTCTTTGTATACATCCACTCTCTATGTATTTACCACTCCAGCATCTCTAAGGAGAAGCAGATACAATGAAGAAGAAAAAATTCCCAGACTCCATAGAAACCTAAGAAACATCAAAAGGCATTAGCCTATTTTCTTCTCTAGTCTATCTTCAAGATTTCAAGATGCTATTTGTCAACTGCAGCGCACACTTTCAAAGAAATAATTATTACCTTTTTCCTATCTATAAAAATATCTCCTGCCGGCTTACCTTAAAAAATTAATATTGTTTACTGCAAGCTACTAGGAAAGCATTTCACACATCAGATCCAGACTACATTATTTCGTTCTACAAGTCAGAAATCTAATGGCAAAAACAGAGTAGAGTTCTGCATCCTATACTATATGTATTAAATCCTCAGCCAGAAAAATGGATTCAAGATATAGACAGTTATACAACTGACTGTAAAAGGTACTGTCCAATGAAAATGTCCCACTAAAAGGAGCTTACAAGATAGAAAATATTGCTATGGTTTAACAATATGCTCATTTTGTGAGGAATAAGCATGAGCTTGGTATTACTGTCAAATTGCAAGTGGACAAATGATGCAGCAAAAAAAATTGACTCTTTACATATTTATTGGGGGAAGAAAAGGAAAAAACTTCCAATGTTATTTATTTATTTATTTATTTATTCATTCATTCATTCATTCATTTAATTTGTATGGCTGCCCATCTCAGACAAATTACTCCGGGCAATGAACAATCATAAAGACAATTAATAGTACAAAAATAAATATATATGGCAACCAAGAAAAAATATCCTCATAGATGTCAACATAACCAGGAAATAGGGTATTTCACACACACAGGCCTCCAGCCTGGGTATATATCCAGATCTCAAGGGCTTAAGAAAGACCAATAGGATCCGGGTCATCCTAATCTCTGAATGGACAATTTTTTAGAGATCAAGGGATACCACAGAGGATGCATGTTTCCTGGTCTCCGCCAGTTGATATTCCTTGGCTGACCATCCCGTAACAAGTCCAACCTGCCAAACCAATTTGGATGGATAGAAACAACTTGGAGAAGATGGGCCCTCAGTCCCAAACCATGAAGGGCTTTAAAGGTTACAGCCAACATCTTGAATTGCACCCAGAAACACACAGGCAACTAGTGCAGCTCATGCAGCAATGGTTTTAATGTGTGTTAAAATTAAATATCCAAAATCATTTATTGTACTATCTGTGCAGCTGCATTTTGCATCAGTTGAAGCTTCCAAATGCTTTTCAAGGGCAGCCCCATAGAGAGTACATTGCAGTAATCCAGATGAGAGGACAGGATGACCTGAATGACTGTAAGCAATTTTCACAGCTAAAGGAAACTGCCAAAGTCTGCACATGTTAAATCATGTATAATATGGTTCCCTCATCTTGCAACGACTCATATTTACAATCCCATCATTCAAAGTGTTTTAGGTAACTGTAGTTGAGTTTGTAACTGAGCTAAACAACCACTTTACCAATCACCAAAATACAGTTTATTAATCTATCTAGCCTAAAACTACTGATAGTCACAGGTAATCTTTGCAAAGATACTTTATGCAGCTATTTGGAGATGCTAGATGGTGAACTAAAGAATGTCTGCATAGACAATAGTTAAGAAAAGTGCCAAGCAAACCAGGTAGAGAATATGTTGCTTGTAGTTCCAAAATTAGCATATGTAAGCAAGTTAATTAAAATATTTGGGTAATTTTATAATCTATTTAGCTCCACAAAATATTAGTAAATCAATCTGGATATGACATAGCTTTTAATCAAAACACACTGCCACTCTTCTGGGTCAATCACCATTCAGGCAGAATGCTAAACCAGTTACTTAAATAAAAAGAATAAAGCAAAAGCCTTACAAGCTCATTCTTTACTTTAATCTCTGAAACTGTAACCATAACAGAAAAATAAAATTATATATTGAATTTAAACTCATTGTACATGGAAATAAATTCTACCAAAGTAAATAGATACAGCCAATAATATTTAGACTAAGGTCAAACAAAATTAAATATATTCAAATAAGAAAAGATAAAGATCTATTTTAATTGTTTTGTATTGTCAATGATATATAGCACTAACTAAAAAAAGTTTCCTCAAGAAATGACCATTCAACAAGTTGGCCAGTGTGACAGCTATCTGTTCATGTTTTCAGTCTGGCCAAAGTATATGTAATTGTGGAGCCATCCTACCCTCACAATTTTCCTGAAGGCATAGAAAACAAAACTGAATTGCCTTTGAAGCTGTGTCAGATCCTATAGCAGAAAGTAATGAAGCAAATCCTCAAACAAGTATAATAACAAAAATCTTTATTATCCTTATAAGAGGCAATCTGTATAGCTGTTTGGATTGTATTTCAAATGTTCAGCTCAGTCTTCAGATTAACTTCCATTCCCATTACTTCCCTATTTCTTGCCGATTTATTCTTGGTTATTGCATTATTTTATTAGTAGTTATTGTTATTTATTATTTTGTATGGTGTAACAAAATGCTGCATAGTGCTCTAGTATATATTTTGATACAAATTTTATTTGTTTCTGTGGATTCCATGCATTATACTGCAGTTTATTAATAGTGCATAACTGTGACTGCCTCAACTCTACTGATCACATATTGACAAGAAAACAAAATTATCCTACCACAATTTTTCTCTTACCATCAAAGCCACAGTATTCTAATACTTCTGCATAAAAGGAGGTTAGACAAATTACTCTTTTCATTTTAGACATAAATCCTTCCTAAATAAAGAGTATACAGGCATGATTATTTTTTCTCTTGAGTTCGTTGGTCAAACCCCATGCTAATTTACAACATGCTAATTCACAATTGGCATAACCACAGTTGGCTGAAGTTGATTTCTTGTGCTAAGCTATAAATCGTGTTTTCAAACATAATAAGAGTTCTCACAATAAGCCACAATGCAGTTTGATTTTAGCAGACAATTTCATAAACACAGTCTGGTATTATAAAAGCCCATTAAGATTGCAGGAGCCTTTTACCTAGGAAGTCACCAAATCTGAATAAGTGTCACCAAATCGAACTAACCAATATTCCAAGACTCAGGACTAAATCTCTGAGACTTTTTTTGTATTACCCATATTAGTGCTGCACATCATCCACTTGTCAAAGATGCCTTAAACCGACCGTCCACAGCCAGGTACCATTGGTTTAAAACGTCCAATGCTTCTCAAGCTTTTGTCTCCTCTTTCTTTTACCGACCAAAGCTAAAGTTTCAGATGTGCCCAGTTGCTGCTTGCTCTGACCCTGGCCTACTAAACCTGTCTCAAATCTCTATAAATTCTAATATGTATATATCACAACAGATACCGTGATCTTCGAAGATCCAACATTCCTTGCTACTCCTAAGCTCCCAGCTCAACTGTGGCAGGCCAAAAAGCGTGTCACTTCAAACTAAAAGGGCACCGGGGGGGGGGCACCGCTCCCCCCCCCACCCCCCACACGTAGGCAATCTCGCTTCAGGATCTCTCTTCCCCGCCCTGCCCCGCCCACTCCTATGCCCGGAGCCAGAACGTATCCAGGTATTTCTCACCTGGCCTGTGCTTCGTCCAGGCTCTGATCGGTGATGGCCATAATCTGCTGCAAGATGTCACCCGTGTCCTGAAG